GGTTCAGCAGGTCTGCCGTGGGGCCCCAGAAAAGTTCCCAGGTGGTGCTTATGCTGCTGTTCTGAGGACGCTACTTTCAGAACCACTGAACTAGACTAATTGGAGGAATCAATGTTGAGTCTGTGCCTGCATATTCAAACCATTATTTTAAAGAGAACTGTCAAATCAGGAAGAGAGTAGGGGGCAACTGTAAAGTTCCTACTTCTGAGTTTAGTATTTGTGTCTATTTTCATACTAAATCTCCAAGCAGCCTGAGGGCCACCATCTGGCAAAGATGTTGGCTGCTGGAAGTTAGGCTGGTATGTGCAAAAGGGTAAGAGAATTCAAGGGGATATGAATGGGGCACTTATGGCATCTTCCGCAGGGTGTATCTATCCTATTGACATAAAACTCTAAAAGAAAAGGACAAAGCCAGGCTGCAGTAATTTGTGATTTTTATTATCCTTGTGAAGTCAGGCAACTCGAGGGGAAAGAACAAGGTGTCCTCTTTGGCTCCTTTCAAAGGAAGACATTTTCATTCTAAACTCTTCAACTTTATGCCTCTAAAACTTAATACCTGGCACCGATTTCATTATAATTGGAAGCCCTGGTTGAATGTGTCCTACAGCTTGAGGCTTTAAGAAAAATGAGCGGCCACCTTTGGGACCACTGACCCAGGTTTTCTGTCAGGGCAAGTCAGTTAATCTCAGTTTTTCCATCTGTGAAATGGGAATGATAATAATGCCCATTTTGTGAGATTGTTATAAAGATTAAATGACATAGTATAAAATGAGTCTTCAAGTAAATGGAAGGTGATGAGAAGAATTGTGATGATGATCATGGATACAGGCTAATGGGAAAAGCATGATATTTGATATTTTTTTAAAACATGAAGTCCATGTGGGCAATGCTAATAAAACCGCTGCCATCCACTGTTGGACCACCCAAGACTGACCTGAGAGAGTAGGATACTAGAAGCCTGTCTCCAGAGTTAATTTCCTGGTTTGCTAAGGATATGCCTTTGCAGTAGCTGCCCCATCTCATCTCACATCTTAGTATCCACAGCACCCAGAGCTTTCCAGACCACTGGGGGCATCCCATCTATCCACCTATCCATCTACCTACCCATCCACCATCCATCCATCCATCCACCCACTCACCCACCCATCTATCCATTTATTTATCTCTTCACTTCCCCATCTATCCATCTATCCACACATCAGCCATCAATCTATCTGTTCATTCATCTCCCATCCATTCATCTATTCATCTATCTACCCATCTATCCACCCACTCATCCAACCACCCGTCCATCCATGTACCCATTTATCCATCTATTCATCCACTCATCCATCTACCATCCATCCATCTGTTCAGCCACCTATCAATCTATCCACCCATTCATCCATCCAGCCATGCATCCATCCATCTACCAATTTATGCATCCAACTACCCATCCATCCATCCGTGAATCCATTCACCCATTCATCTACTCACCTATCTATCCCCCATCCATCTACCCATCCATTCATTCACTCATCCACCCATCCACCC